CACACACACACACACACACACACACACACAGGTCCCATGTGGCACACATATGCCTATGTTCCTAGCTGCTGGCTGGACTGTGGTTTGAGGCCAGTCAGGACAAAAAGCTGAAAAATAGCTGAGATTTGGTTTTCGTATAAGAGAGTGAAAGCAGGGAGCAGCAGAGGAGAGGTCTTCCCGGCCCCCGCAGGAAGGAAGTGCGGACATAGAGGACGCATCTGTGCAAGGCGGCACACTTGAGGGCTCGATCCAAGCTCTCCTCAGTACCATCCAGAGCTGCCAGGCTGATTCTGACAGGCACCCTTTCCCTTGGGAATTCGAGTGGTAAAGACCCCACTTGGTCATGGGGTGTGCTCGTGACAGCCATTGTAATAAATCTGCAGTACTTTGGAGGTTGAGGCGAAGGTACCAAATGTTGACTCAAGAGACTTGTATTTGACCTCAGTAAGCTCTTTATGCTTTTTCCCACTGAGTCTCAGTTTTGTGCATGGGCAAGAATCCTTACTAAATAGTAAAAAAATGCATACTGTTGAAACTGGTGCTGTATTAGAAAATAATACATACCTGAGATATTAAAATGCTTAACTAATAGAAACTAAGTTTATGTATCAGTATATATAAGTGTTTTTCTAAAATTAGACATGGTGATTTATGCATATAATCCCAGTACTCAGGAGGCTGGGGTAGGAGGATTGTGAGTTTAAGGCCAGACTGGGACCACTGTGGTGCTCTGCCTTAAACAAACAAAAAAACCCAACATACCTTTTTTCCTTGCTTTTGTGTGTTTTTATTTGCTGAAAACTATATCCAGCATCCACAGGCAAATAGAGTAAGAGACGATATGGGGTAAGAGCACCTCTAAAATTCTAGCCGGAGCCAGGCACCAGTGGCTCACATCGGTCATCCTAGCGACTTAGGAGGCTGAGATCTGAGGATCACAGTTCAAAGCCAGCCTGGGCAGCTTATCTAAGCACCACACAACTGCAGCCAGGCTCCATTCAATAGCACAAGACAGGAGACAGATGACCTGGGAACCTCCTTGGCTCCAGACCTCCCAAGAGAGGGATGGCACGGACTCCTTGGTTTATAATGGAACTGATTAAGACTTATATTCTAAAATGGTGAGCACATTTTTCTGAAGAAATAGTACAATGGTGTGTGGCTGGGGATGGAACTCAGGCCCTCTCACATGCCAGGCAAGCACACTAAACATACCCCTAACCTAAGAAAAAAATAAAGTCCAAATCTAGATCTCCAAGTCCAAAAGTAAGAAAAAGTGACAACTTAAAAAAAAAAAAAAAAAGCAGGGCTGGGATGTAGCTCAGTGGCAAAGCACTTGCCTAGCAAGCACAACGTCCTGGGTTCGATCCCCAGTACCAAAAAAGAAAAGACAAAAAAAAA